TAAGAGTGGGTAGGTCTGTCTGCTGCAGCAAGTGGCCTTGCTTTGTAGCAAGACTTTAAATATTTCTTGATACTTGTCAACACTGAAACACCTGACTCGGATGAGTTTGACTTACTGGTGAATAGTTACATCTTCTCCTGCAACAACTTGGGTTGCTTTTTGGTGGGACAGTCACTCGAACCTGCATTTGGAAAATTATTGACGGGGAATAAAATAGAGTAAACGGGTAGTCTTACAGGAATTGCTCAGTTGATTTTCCTTCAGGGGAGAAGGAGGAAGCTTACTGCCAAAGAGAAATGCTGTTCTGTCAGGACACACTTTTCCTGTAATGATAGGCAAAAACTTCACAATGGCGAAATCATTAGCTAATATTCAGCTATATACCTGTTTCAAACCACAACTCTTTTCCTGCTTCATGTAGCAACTGATCGTCAAGAAATACTTGAATGATGGTGAAGATTCTGTCCGAACGTGACTTTACTCTTGTAGAGAGTACGAACTAAGGTTATGGCCTTTACTTGTCGAGATTCGGTGATGTCAGCATATCTTCCATCGTGAGAAAGATAATAGACGCTTTGCCTGCAGTTGAGCCCCCACTTCGACTGGGTCTTTGATTGCACAGCAAAGTTTACCGAATGAACACTTGAATATATTTTTAAGCTTTTGAGTCTCGGTTTCTGAGAGATTTTTCAGCATATCGCACTCTGGTGAGGAGTCATCCATTTCAGTGGAACTTGATAAGTTCCCTCTTTCCATTTCTTCCCTACGCCTACTTATATTCCGTCTATAATGACTTCCTTTCCGTTTACTGTATTTTTCTTCATGCTATATTGGCGGGGTATGTGCTGCTTGTGGCTATGGGGCTTATGTTACTCTCCCTGTAATGTTTCCCCCTGTCATCACTATGCTTTGATCTAACTTCGTCTCTTTCCCCCTTCCTATGACGATTACTTGTTCCTCTTTCTTCTCCAGAAGACTCTTCACCAGCAGAATAAGAGTCTTCATCAAGGTCTTGTTGCTGATGATCTGGTTTTGACTGTGCTGCTAGTGGCTATGGGGCTTATGTTACTCTCCCTGTAACGTTTCCCCCTGTCATCACTATGCTTTGATCTAACTTCGTCTCTTTCCCCCTTCCTATGACGATATCTTCCTCTTTCTTCTCCAGAAGACTCTTCACCAGTCGAATAAGAGTCTTCATCAAGTTTTGTTGCTGATGATCTGGTTTTGACTGTGCTGCTAGTGGCTATGGGGCTTACGTTACTCTCCCTGTAACGTTTCCCCCTGTCATCACTATGCTTTGATCTAACTTCATCTCTTTCCCCCTTCCTATGACGATCTCCTTCTCCAGAACACTCTTCACTAGCAGAATAAGAGTCTTCATCAAGTTTTGTTGCTGATGATCTGGTTTTGACTGTGCTGCTAGTGGCTATGGGGCTTATGTTACTCTCCCTGTAACGTTTCCCCCTGTCATCACTATGCTTTGATCTAACTTCGTCTCTTTTCTCCTTCCTATGACGATTACTTCTTCCTCTTTCTTCTCCAGAAGACTCTTCACCAGCGGAATAAGAGTCATCAATTTCTGTTGCTTCGTTAGATAGTGTCTCTACTAAGTCCTGATCTTCTTCATTCGTACTACTACTAGTATGTGACTCTTCATACTCATTCTGAGAGGTATCAGAATAAGTTTCATCTACATGTAGAACCTTGACATTCTTTGCTTTCTTTACGGGCAACACTTTTCTCTTCCCCTTTCCTTTTGCCGACTTTAAATACCGTGTTTCTTTGCCCGAGGTTTTTTCACCATGCTCTGCAACTCTTACGCTCTTTCTATGTTTCTTTCTCTTTCTGATTTTTCTTTCGAATGCTTGCTTGGCATCGATAGCATGGGATTCTTTTGGGTTTATACTACTTGTAGGAAAAGATTTGTGATCACGTTTCGCTTTTCTCTTTCCTTTACTCCTCTCTTCATCTGAATCTTCTACTCTACTTGTTTTTGAACGATACACGGGAGAAGTATCTCCTTCAAATTTTCTTTTCCTTGAAGATTTATCTCCCCTTTTATACATTTTCTGTTGTGGCTCTTGGTCTGAGGCACTCTCACAGCTAGAGCGACCACGACTAGGCCCAGCGCTTTGACCATATTGGGTTTGCTGCAATTCATTTGCTAGTAATGCTCACCTATACTTTTAGACCTGAGTGCCTTGTCGATATCACCCCAGGTAAGGGCCGGGGACTTCTTCAAACGAACTGACAAAATTTCGAGCAGACACTTACCAGAATCTGACTGGTCCGCTTCAATACTCTCGATCTCAGTTTTACTCATTCCAAAGTGTAAACCAAGAAAATCGTACTTTTTCCTCACCGGATGAAGGGCTTCATATACATGTATCAAATCACCTTCACGCAAGCCCTCGCTGGGTGATGCAGCCAGGCTTGACTCTAGCAGCCATTTAGACGCTAAACGGACACGCCCCTTTTTACAAAATCCTCGCTGCTGATTTCGTTCGGCAGGAAAAAAGCGACACAGACACACACAAAAGACTCACTCTGATTATGGAAAAACAGGTTGCGTTTGTAACTCGCTGGGAAAAGAGGCAGAAAAGACGGGGGAGACGATTTAAGGGTCGAACGGTCTTTGGGTGGGGTTTGGAATGTGCTGCGGTTGCATATTTTCGCGCACGCGTTTAAAAATCTAAGCGTGCGTATAGTCGATTACGCCAAGTCGTCCGGGTCAATATGAGGAGCGTATCTCCGAAGAGACTGCCTCCGCTGCCCACCATAGCGGACATCATACGACTCTACGGACTGAGAGCCAGGTCTCAGCTCAGTCAGAACTTTCTCCTCGACCTCAATGTCACTGGTGAGTGTTGTAGTCGTCACGAATCACGCTAATAAGCACGAGGGCGCTTAATTATAAGCGCCCATACTGCAGACAAAGTGGTGGGTGTGGCAGGGGATGTGAGGGGCTGCTGTGTGTGTGAGGTTGGTCCTGGGCCAGGGCACTCACTCGCTCCATCCTCAACAGAGGAGCCAGCCACCTGGTGGTCCTTGAGAAAGACAGACGGTTCCTCCCCTCACTAGAAGTAGGTATAGTCACTCGTGAGGGGCACAAAAACCGAGAGTTTGCGGGATTCACTGATTTTTAGATAACCTCGGAAAATCTGATGTACAATTACAAAACCCCTCTAATCCAAATACAAAATGGACAGGACAGATTTCATTTCGAAAAAGTCCTCAATGGAAAGGTCACCTCATATAAGAGTGGAGTTTATACGTAGATAATTACTGGGGTGGCATCTTAGACTGAGGCCTTTGCAGCAAAACCATGAGTAAGAGTTGTTTATCTAACGAAGCACCTCTCTCTGGTGTGGTTCCCAGTCAAATCTACTCTGTCTATCATTGTTGGTTGGCAGTTGGTACGAGAGGCCAGCGGTGGTAGAGTGGACGTCATTCATGGAGATGCTCTGGAGGTGGATATGGAGACTGTCTGTCAGGAGTATGTCAAGAAGAGAGACTGGGAAGATGGTATGGATATGCTCTCTTTTGCTGTGAGATTGTGACCGCATATACCAATGGGTGTTGTTGTGTTGTTTGCTTCACCTTTGCCTTTAGACCTTGTTGTTGACCATGTACTAAGTGCTGATACGTGATTTAAGGCTTGACAATCATCTGTATAACGTAGTAGGAGGGAACCCCAACAGAGAGCAGTACTTGATGTCTTTTGGACTTTTAATCCACGCTTTTCTTTCTCTCTTCAGATCCTCCAGAGTTCCACGTGATAGGCAACCTCCCGTTCAATGTCTCCATCCCTCTCCTGTTGCAGTGGTTGGCAATGATCCCTGGCAGACGTGGTCCCTTCTCCTTCGGCAGGTCAATACTCACCCTCACCTTCCAGAGAGAAGTCGCTGAGGTGGGGCTCTGTAACTACATTCAGGCAGTATACCAGCACATTTTCAAGGAGAAAAAGCTGCGATTTTCACATTTTTTTATCAGCGACAAAATTTCATAGGGGGTTAGATACCGTGCACTCCATAGAGTTTGTATTTTCGTGGAGATACAGTCTTTCCGGAAGTTTAGTTCATGCATAGCATGCCACTGAGGTATATACAGGTGAAATTGTGAGGCCACTAATGCAAGAATTTGCACTTACAAAGCTATGTAAAGCAAAGGCAACTGGTGATGAGCATTGGGATCACGTGACCTCCCTCCAGCGTATTGTGGCTCCACCAGGACACACCCAGCGCAGTCGACTCTCCGTCATGACCCAGAACCTCTGCCATGTCCACTGGGGCTTCACCATCCCTGGCTCCGTCTTCACTCCCGCACCCAAGGTGGGAGCACTTTACAACGGACACCAGAGTTACCTAGAAGATTTGTGATGCCTGGAATAGTTTTACATAATGAAGATGTGGTGAGGTGACATCACAATTAGTTTATTGACTGGACATTATACTTTTACATTCTCCCTCTCAACCTTACGTTTAGCGATAGTTTTCGTATTTTAAGGTGGATGCAGTGGTGTTGAAGCTGGTCCCGAGACTCCGCCCACTGGTGAAGGTGGACCACCTCACCTTAGAGAGAGTTGTGAAGGCTCTCTTCACGTTCAGGAGGAAGTTCATCAAAAGAGGAGCCAGGTATATACAGCTCACTTATGTATGTGCCATGATCTCCCTTCTCAGTTACTGTTCACTGCACTGTAGCAATTCCAGTGGGGAGAATTAAGTAAAAGCCTAGGACTACTTTTGACATAATTATAGATTCGCATCAGGTATATATCAGGTTTGTATGATTGATACCGGATCGTGTCACATTGCAGGCTCCAGCGATGCATGCTAAACCAGCCGGCTCTTTTGAGAGCTGTGCTTTCGTGCATTCTCCATTCTCCATCTGACAAGTGTTTGTTCTATTCCCTCTCTCCCTCTCAGTCTGCTGTTCCCGACTGATCCTCACCTCCTCCCCCTCCTCTTCTCCCTGAGTGGAGTACCCCACACCCTCAGAGCCCAGGAGCTGACAATGGAGCAGGTCGACCAACTCTCCTCCACCTATCTACACCTCCTAGACAAACACTCCTCTCAATATGCCATTTCGTCTTAGATAATCCACCCTTAAACCATCTCATATCAATTAGTCTGTGAAATCTACGCGCTATGCTACAATGCAAGGCAGCGCAACGCAGAATTATACACACTATGATGCAACGCAAGGGCCCTTCTTCAGTGCATGTATATATATAGATTTCATGGACCAGCTGCCTTTTCAGTTGATCGCACATGCGTGCAAGGTTGTGTGCAGGGGTAACCTTGGACACTTCAAATTCTTGACACATGAATTTTACAAGATTTTTTATGACACGAAATTCGCCATTTAACGTTGTGGCCAAACTTATGATGATTATTATACGCAATAAATAATGCAGTAACAGTTTTGCTAATGATTGATGAGTTGTGAGAGTGAGCTACAGTTTGAGTCCTTGACCGAGGAGAGAGGCCATGTCCGTCTTATTCAACTGACCTATTGTCGAAAACAACACAATACAAACCCATGAGTTAATCCTAATCATTACACAGACTTGCCAAAACTCTTTACAATCTACTATGTGCCGTACCACTGTTGAAATCAAGCTCTTTCTTAGTAGTACCGTTTGTAATAGCTAGAAAGTGTCCGATATGATGCAGGTTTGACACTTACGTATGTACACAATATCAGAAGAACCTACTTCCAGCTGTCATGTCTTGCTCCAGTTTCAGTTTTTGTTGTGCACATCTCAGAATATCCTCCTCCACCGTGTCTCTCCCCACCAGTCTCACCACCTCAACCTCTCTAATAGTCACGGAAACAAACATCATGACTTCTTCTTATATATACTTAGGAAATACAGTGGAACCTCCGAATAAGGGACACTATGGGGGAAACAATTTTGTCGCTTGTGGAGAAGTCGTCGCTATCTCGGAAGTCAAATAATACTCTAAAGTATTAGCATGGGGTTGAAACAAGTGTCCTCTGTAGAGAGGTCGTCCCTATCTCGGAAGTCAAATAATACACTAAAAGTATTAGCATGGGGTTGAAACAAGTGTCCTTTGTAGAGAGGTCGTCCCTATCTCGGAAGTCAAATAATACACTAACTATTAGCATGGGGTTGAAACAAGTGTCCTTTGTAGAGAGGTCGTCCCTATCTCGGAAGTCAAATAAGTATGAGCATGTGGTTGAAACAAGTGTCCTTTGTAGAGAGGTCGTCCCTATCTCAGACAGAGGGTCAGGTTCCACTGTATGTACATGCTATATACCTGGTCTGGCCGACTCTGTGGCAGCGATCCTCTGCCTGTTTGTCATTGTAGGGATTGAAGTCAATGTCGTGGAGGACCACCACACTGGCAGAGGTCAGGTTGATACCCAGACCACCTGCAGTGGAGGGAAATACGGTAATAGCAGATGTCTGATTAGACAGTGGTTAAGGTAGGAAATGTGGAACACACTCACCAGCTTTAGTAGAGAGGAGAAAAACCAAGATATCGTCACTGGAGTTGTATTGGTCTATCAACATCTGCCTGCATTGTTACGTGATAAAAAGACAGTAAGATCGGAAATATCCCTGTGATTATCGTAGTCTTAACCATGTTGGCGTAAAGCATTGTATTCATACCATACCACTATACCTAGCACCTTTTAATCGTGGGGAGTGTCCGAAGATTGCTCACAAGTCGAGAGTGGCATAAAAATGCATGCCCACTCACAGTGTCATGCTCTTGGCACAAAATGGACCATTGAGTGTATGCACTTTCGTTTTTCATCTTTAAACAAGCTGTAAAGTGAAAATGTGTTGGATGGTCTGAAAGCCCCAGCACTAAGTGAGGTTCATTCAGACCATTCAAAGGTTTACTGATTGAAAAATGGCAGTAGTGAAACTAGTTGTATCGCTTTGTTTCCTCATTCTTGAAAACGTGACAGCAAGTTCACCAAGTTGTACTAGTAACCAGACACTGGTGGAAGGAGACGATCCTTGCCCTCCTTGGCAAACAAGGAACATTACTACAGGGGTATGTGAGTGTGAAAAGGAAACTGCAAGTCACGTGGTGGTGTGCACCGACAATCCCTACCAGTTAACACTCCACGAATGCTATTGCATGACTTATGGCGATCAGATTCTTGTTGGACCATGCTTCTATACTTGTAACAGGGGCTTCGACACATTCAAAATACGTATCACTGTAGATTCCCCTTGTAAACTGAATGACGTGATCTGTGCAAGGTTCGAGCGGCGAGGTCAGATGTGTGGCAAGTGCAGTAGCAACTATGCCCCACCGGTTTACTCCTACACTCTCTCCTGTGTCAACTGTACCACTAGCAACTGGGGGAAGTACACTGCAGTCTCTCTACTCCCACTCACTGCCTTCTTTGTCTTTGTCGTCACCTTCAGAATCAGTGCCACTTCCCCAAAACTGCATGGGTTCATCCTCTTTTCTCAGATAGTGACTTATTCTTCTAACATGAGGGCTTTTGGAACTGTACTTCCAGTCAAGTCAAAATTTACACCAACACAGAAACACCTTACGCAGGCTCTCCTATCATTTCCAGACATGTGGAACTTGGACTTTTTCCGTTTATTTTACACTCCGTTTTGCCTCCATCCACGCACAACTAATCTGGATGTCTTGGCAATGGACTATATACCTGCAGTCTACCCTCTTCTACTCATTGGGCTCTCCTACTTCCTTGTTCTGCGTTATGATCGGAATGCTCGTCTTGTTGTCTGGCTTTGTAAACCTTTGGTGTCTCTCTCCATCAGATTTCGCAGACAGTGGAACATCCGTAACTCACTAGTGGACGCCTTTGCCACTTTCCTTCTCCTCTCCTACGTCAGGATCCTCAGTGTGTCCGTGGACCTCCTTTTGCCTGTAGCTCTGTACCGTCAAAATGGACAACAACTGCCTCAGCTCTATCTCTTCAACCAGGGAGACGTGGCCTACTTTAGCAGCCAGCACCTGCCCTATGCCTGTCTGGCCCTCTTCTTTCTCCTCACCTTCACACTTCTCCCGATGGCCCTCCTGTTCCTCTACCCCTTCTCCTGTTTCCAGGTCTGTCTCAACCGCACAGGCCTCAGCTGCCAGTTCCTACACATCTTCATGGACACCTTCCAGGGACACTTCAAGAATGGTACAAACGGCACTCGCGATTTCCGCTATTTCTCAGCATTCTACCTCCTCCTCAGAGGCCTGGTGTATGCTTCCATTGTGCTGGCTTACCAGATAAACAGCTATGCCTACACAACTGTTGTCTTGACCGTTTTCACTGTGCTTGTGGCATTAGCTCGACCCTACAAGGCAGACAGCTATACCGTTAACGACACCTTTTGGCTCATCATTACAGCTCTGGTGTACATGATCCTGATTCCAAATACATTTAATCATTCAAGAGTCACAGAGTCAGGCCTTCGACCATTAACCTTCAGTTTAGTATTAGCCATCGTTGTTTTTTTCTTAGCCAAGGGGAGCAGCCAGTGCAAAGTGGCTTGCTCCAAATTCATTTGGAAGATGAGAGTAAGAGTGCAGTCTCACAATGCGGGTGGCTATGAATGTCTCAATACATCATAACAAGTCCTAAGCTATCAAGATTTTTTTGCACTTTAATGTTTGCTTTGGATTGTAATTTGTTTGCCATATACACACATAGGGAGAGAAAAAAATTACATCAGAGGCCCAGTAAATGTGAATCTAAGACTTTAGTGAAAACATAAGGAAGACATATGTAAATATACGTAAGAAGATTCAGTCTAGCTGCAGCATCTTATTAACCCTCGGCACGCATGTGCTATGAGGCGGCCCATGAATGATACCAACGGCTTCAGAACTAGATGTATGCCAACCTGAAAAAGTGATATCCTGAAACGACTGCATTCGTGAGATATGCCATGAAAAACAAACTAAAAAGCCAATATGTAAAATCGTACTGGGCTACCACGACCTGATCCGTTTGCATTGGAGGCAAAAGAAGTCACAACTAAGGCCGTGTATCGACTCCCGCATGCTATTCACTAGCATAGCTAGCCCGTGTCAGACTCTCCGCCAGCTATAGCATGGAGACCACGAGTATAAACGCACACTATAGGGCCAGCCCATCAATTAGCGGTACCGCGCATGCAGTGCGCCAAGGGTTTGCACTTTAGTGTTTCTCATTCTAACACGTCAACACGTTACGTAAGGGTCACCTATCGTTCATGTGTGTTTTTCCATCCAATCTGAGATAGCTGTGGCCTAGAAGTTGCAGCCACGCCTCCAAAATGTCCAGTATCATTATGAACTGACTGAAGATCAGGACTCGTCTTCCCTATCCAGAAAAAAAATTATATAAGTGGAGGTGTCCTGAATTAAACATCAAGTGAAAGAGAGAACCTGTTCTTTGCAATCTCCGAGCTTCTTTTCTAGATACTTCAATTTTCCTGACTCTTTGATTAGGCCATTGGACAGTCTGTACTGCACCAGTGACTGTAGTGATAAACCATGATATTATGTCAATTATCAATCTACTGTGTCAGTGATGCAGTAAACGGGCAAGCAGAATGGGCCTACATATAGCCATCCCCATGGCATCATCTATTCATAGCTATAGCTAAAGTATTAGGAAGAGAATGGTTAGCTTGTCCTTTCCCCACAGTTTTTCTAAAAGGATGAAAGTGTAGGCCCTATTTTTCAATTAACATTGGAGTCAAAGACTATATGGTTTATAAAGATCAGAAATGTTAGTTGGCCTAAGTTAGGCCCAATGTTTTACTAGTTATTCCCACAGACGTTGCATGCATAATATGACACTACCTCATGTCTGACACAGAGGTTGTGCAGCTCAAAATCAGACATGACGGCCATATCTTCAGCTACCAGCGTAGCGTCTGCATCACGGTGCTCTGGCTCCTGCCAAGAGAAGGAACGGTATGGGAATAGGGTGAATAGTTACTTGCACACGCACGCGGTTAACATTTAGCATGCGCCAGATGACTTCTGGTTTGCACTTGCGGTATTGGCTGAGCTCCTTTTGCACAAAAGGAGAAAGTGTGAGTTTTAGGTAAGCTGTTTCCTTCTAGCTGCTTTATGCACAGCATACAAGTTGTGTGTGTAAGTGAGTGTGCATTACTGCAACTCTGAATGAAAAGCACTGAAGTGCAAACCCTCGGCGCACTGTGACGTGCACGCGTAAGCACCGTACCACTAATTGATGGGTTGGGTTTTAGTTTTAGCTGTTACTCGTGGTCTCTCGCGCAGAGTCTGATGCGGGCTAACTACACTACTAGATAGCATGCGAGAGGCGATACACGCCCTGCGTTGCATCTTCTGGTGCCTCCGAAGTACGCAGAGCACGACTGCGGTAAGCCATCCCGTCCGTTGTGTATTTGCTTTTTCGCGCTCTAGCTTTGCAACGGAGCATTTTCAGAGAAAACCGCCTTTATTTTCTGACCTTCGTCGCCCGTTGGGTAGATGGTATCATTTCTGGGACGAACAGACGTTCAAGGAGTGAGATGTAGAGTAACAGACAAACAGACAAACAGACAGACAGACAGACAGACCCAACTACTGTACCCTCGCTGTGCATGCGCGCCGAGGGTAATGATAAAATAATGCTAAAGCCCCGTGGCCCCTTCATCTATTAGCTACTAGGGCATTTTTCAAGGCAAGCATTTGTGAACCATGATTATAAACACTCTCACACCTTATTTGGAAAGGACAAAAAATACAATGTAACATTAATCCCAACCTTCAGAATTTCAGTAGACATAGAAGCAATGACATCATCTGAATAGTGGGAGCGCAACAAGAGAGGGTGGTTGGCTGCCTTGCGGAGCTGTGTTAACACAGACATTGACTTGACCAGCTCCTTACCTGCATATTACGTGGCATATGGTGAGTGAAGTATCTTTTTCCTTTTTCTACCTCCCCCCTTCTTCATCCTCTAGTCATCTTTATTCCTTCATCTCCTCCCCCTCCCTCACTCACCTCTGCCATTCTTCATCTCCTTTCTCCCCAATTCCACTTCCTTGTGGTACAACTCTGACTGTTCCGGGGTTAAAGCGCAATGTTTAACACTCTCAACTTTTCTTGGCAACTGGTGAAGGACCTGATAGCACCGTGGATGTGATGAGCATATCACGGACACACTAAAACCACATGTACCTCTTTTTTCAACCTCCTCAAAATAAAGGGGCACATTATCTCCTTCGCCCTTGAAACCTAAAAGACAAAAATCACTGTCTGTCATCGATAAGTGCACTTAACAAATAACTGTACCAGTATGTTGTACAGTACATATTACATACCTGCTTTAGGTGTATAGATCTTGTACAATACGTACACTAACAAAGTACTATGTTTATCACTAAGTACGGTAGTCTAGTTGATTTTCCTCTTTTTCCACTCTTGTGCCTATATACAAAACTGTCGACACCCTTATATAGGGGGGACACCGGAATTTGGGTGAGATAGGGATAGGTTCAGCGAGATTATAGGATGTTACCATTCCATACTCCAACTGTAGTCAAAGTATTAAGGATAGTTGGTTTGTCTTGTTTTCCACTCTTGTGCTTACGACAAATGCAAGATCGTTGACACCCTTATTTAGGGGGGACAGCGAAATTTGGGTGAGATAGGGATAGGTGCAGCGAGATATAGGATGTAACCATTCCATACTCCAACCGTAGTCAAAATATTAAGGATAGTTGGTTTGTCTCTTTTTCCACCCATGTGCCTACAACAATTGCAAAATCATTGACACCCATATTTAGGGTGATAATTATAGCAAATTTGAGTGAGATAGGGATAGGCCCATAGATAGGTGCAGTGAAATAAAAGATGATACCATTTCCGTACTCCAACCGTAGTCAAAGTAATAAGGATAGTTGGTTTGTCTGCTTTTCCACTCTTGTGCCAACAATAAAAGCAAAATCATTGACACCTTTATTTAAGGGGGGGATTTGGATGAGATAGGGATAGGTGCAGCGATATATAGGATGTTACCATTCCAAACTTCAACCGTACTTAAAGTATTAAGGATAGTTGGTTTGTCTCTTTTTCCACCCATGTGCGTACAACAAATGCAAAATTGTCGACACCCTTATTTATGGGGGACAGCGAAAATTGGGCGAGATAGGGATAGGTGCAGCAAGATAGAAGATGATACCATTCCATACTCCAACTGTAGTCAAAGTATTAAGGATAGTTGGTTTGTCTATTTTTCCACCCATGTGCCTACAACAAATGCAAAATCATTGACACCCATATTTAGGGGGATAATTTATTATAGCAAAATGTGAGTGATATAGGGATAGGTGCAGTGAAATAAAAGATGTTACCATTCCATACTCCAACTAACCTGCTCCAGGTATACTAACAGTGTATATACCCGTTCCTAACAGTGTACCATGTTGTACGGTATGACCACATTCCGTACCTGGTCCTGGTAGTAGTCGCTGACCTCGGCTGTGTGTCTGCTGTGCCGGAATGCAGACTGGAGGGGCTGGATGTAGGGACGGAACACGGACGGCATCACGAAACTGAGCAGAGACATCAGCTCCAGGAGGTTGTTCTGGAGAGGAGTCCCTGTTAGCAGAAGCCGCCGCTCTGCCTGCCGGATTAACAGGGGGGAGTTAGTTCAAGTTAGAGGACAAGCCATAGGATTTAGGAGGCCGAGGCTTCTCAAACCGTGTGGTTTCCATGACTTGTCGTCTAACTGTTTTTAGAGTGCGTCAGGCGCAAAACCTGAGCCCGGCCGCCCGCCCGCCCGAGTATAATGCTCGTTGCAATCTGTTGTAGATGTATCTGCATTTAATTCGCAATGAGGCTTTTGCAGTTTGAAGTTGACAATCAGTGAGAAGATGTTAAAATATGTGAAATACGTGTGGAGATCTCACCTGTATCTTCATGAGGTGGTTGTACTTGAGGGTGGACATGTTCTTAAGCATTGTCCCTCGTCCAGGACCAGTGTCTTTAGCTTCAGCTTCCTCAGAAATTGACGATCCTCTGCACGCCCAATGCATATCGTGTACCTACAGACAAGCAAACATCACCATTTCTAACATTTTGTAATGGACACTTAGAATAAAAGACACCTCTCTACGAAGGACAAATGCTTCAATCATCGAACCGTTCTAAAGAACATCTCTGTACAAAGGGAAACTCTAACAGTCCCAGTGTGTCCCTCTTTCCAAGTTCTGTATTTGCATTTCGTGGTCTTTATAAGAGTAATGTGGCCATACAACTGAGCTGAGGTGGTTCTGAGTTTCTTAGTACAGGACTAAGTGTTTTCCCCACTCCCGAACTCCATATGCTAAAGAGCTTACGTTGTTAGAATGACATCATAGTAGCCCTGGAAATCCCGGATCCTAGCGCCGGGGGGCGCGGCGCGGCCGGCCGCGCCTCTAGCACAAATGCGCATGCGCGCGAAAGTTCCGGCGCGGTCGTCCGGTCCGGTATGTAGTTTGGCAAAAAGCGGAGCGTTAGGAAGATCAGTAGAGATTATGACGGTGCTAATAATTTTGGTCCGAGAAGGGAAATTCCCGTGTCGCTCATGCGCTATAAATGGTTAACGGCGCGCGGAGACGTAAAACTATATACCAAAGAGCTAACGGTATACTTGTTCTCTTTAGGCTTGGCGTTTCGTATATACAGCGCGTTCGTCGACGAGAGACCAAGAGCAGCAAGATGCGCCCAATAATAATATTGCTTTGCGTCGTCGTTTTTCATTGCTCCGTGCAAAACGTCGGTGCCTCGGTCGCCAGGAGCAATCGTATCTGGCCCATTGGAGGAACCACGAGCGTGGATCTCCCCCAGTCCTCACCATTTGCCCCCAGACTTCAGATCAGCCAAGGCTCTAAGTAAGGAGGAAAATGTTTAGCTAGCTAGAGTTAATATTAATAGTTTTCCAGCAATAACTTTTAGCTACTATCCACCCTCTCTTATTTTGCCATACCCTTATATACCATCAGTGAGCTATCACTGCATTAACAATAATTGTGTGAACGTTGATACATAACCAATAATTATACGTTTTTCAACTCCCTGTCCCTGATTTACAGGTATGACTACCATCGTGGAATAGATATACCGGCTGATCTCTACTCAGAGGTGTATGCCGTGTCAGATGGCACAGTCCGGATCAATGGGTCTCACCACGCATATTCAGACGGTGTAGTACAGGTAATAAGTAAAGGGGTAGCTAATAGCTTTCGGACTAGCTATATGGAAATTTGAACCGGCAATATTTTAAAAGTATCCAGAGTATATAGCTACACGGTCACAAACGATTGCATTTTCTTGTTGCACGTCAGTATGGTGGATCGTTGAGCTCTTCCATGGTAGACACTGAATGAGCATGAACTGCTTTTAATGAAGACACTAATGGGACAGAAGAAAATATAAGAGTGTGTCCACATTATCAACAAAAATGCTCTTGGGAAAGAAATGGTGCCCTCTTTAGAGAGATGTCCTCATTTCAGGGTGACCCTAAAGAGGGGTTCTACTTTGTGGGGACTAATGTGTGGTGCTATATACATTTCATCTCTCTCTCTCTCTCGACTCTGACTGAGTCTGACTATTCTCAACGGAAAATCATTCACCGATGCTACAAATGCTGAGTTAGCTGCACCTGCAGGGGGGCAGGTGCTGGTGTTAGAATGCAATTATGCCTAGATGAAGAATAGTGCCTACATGGCATAAGGATATTCATGATTCACCATTATCATTCATAAACCTAATCAAGGTCACCCCACTAGCTAACATTCGATACTCCTGCCTGCCTGTGTAGCACTTGTCTTTCCTCTCAGTTAGAGGAAAGGGGTTTGGGCCTAACGTTAGCACTTATGCCGTTACAAACCCAATCCCTTCCTCTTAGTTTTTGTGAATGCATGATACCTTACTGAGTATAGTAGACAAAAATGGACCTATGTGTTAGTCAATTCTTATGGACGTATCGACTGGTCTGAAGACATTTATGTGTCCGTGGCTTTTAAAGTGTTAAACGTCAGTTTTACTTGATACGAACCACTTCAGTCCTGCGGATGAAGCTATTTCATGCGACTTCTGACTGTACCGTTTTCTTTACAGCTTCATCATACCGATTGGGAGGAAGGTGGAGATTTTTACACCTCCTACATTCATATTGTGATGAGTGATGGACAAAATTCTATCTCTCTTACTAACGGTCAATCTGTCAGCAAAGGACAGCACATTGCATACAGCAATGGTACACCGTCTTTAGATCACATTCACTTTGAAGTGAGGGTTGGATCTTATAAGAAGGAATACGCCTGCAACCCATGGAAATACCTACCAAACAGTGACAATGACTACTCTTCATTTGAAGCTGAACTAAGTCTCACACCAAATTACAACGATATTGAATGTCAGGCCGTTGTTAATGTGAGTGTGCTCCCCAATCAGTTGACCTTTAATCGTGTCGAACTGCACATCCTGGACAACTTAGACACACCGCAGAAAGTCCGGTTCTACGACATGTGTGGAACTAACGTGAACCATACACAAGGCCAAGTTGACAACTCAACCTATCAGGACGACCCTGATGATTACTCCTCCTCCTACCTTATCCGCATCTCTCCCATGTTCTTTAATAGCAAATCATATGGAAAGAACGAAAGCGCCGGCTGGGGATTTGAATTTGTAGACCTCCCTTCACTCTCTGGAGGTGGGAGAGTCATGGCTAAGATATTTGACGTGTTTGGAAACAGTAAATCAACGGAGTATCTCAGTTACACCTGTTCCACCACAGCTCCCACTACCAGCTCTACCACAGCCACCAGCTCTACCACACCCACCGAGGAATCAAGCTGTAGCGGCTGCACCAGGAATGATCGTATTTGGCCCATTTCAGGAACTACAACTGTGGATCCCCAAGCCATACCTTATGGTTCCAGAAGACAGTATAGTGGGAGGTACATATTATATTTTTGATGGCTGACGTGTGTGTAAGTAGACATCATAATTGCCGTGGAGACATGTGCCTAGCAATATCCGGTATATAGACTGCAGCAGTATTACTTGGCACGTATTAGAGCTGTATCTCTTAAAGAAAGTGTTGTCTGGGGTGTATTGGATTTGCCTTGTATTGACAGCCTGTTTAATGTATTACTGCATGATCTCAGTTACCCCAAGCCTCTCCCTGAACAATTTAGCTACCCTGCTTCCCACAATGTTTTGCACGCTGGTACAGCTATTATTGTATAATGATCATTACTTGGTCATTTTATTTCAGCTACAAATTCCATCGTGGCGTGGACATACGCTGCTCTACCTACACCAATGTGTATGCTGTGGCAGATGGGACAGTTCGAATCAACGGCTCTCACCCAGGATATACATCTGGTAATATAGTTCAGGTGAATTACTTACTGCTAACAAGTAAATTAAAAATCCTGCGAAATTAATAAAAGAGGCATATATGGGATGGTATTAAAAGAAAGGGAGACAAGATAGGGATGGGATACATGAAGCATGGTTATGAACAGATTTGACGCTGACACCCCCAACCCCATCATACAATCCCTATATTGTTGACTGGTGTGCCACTCGTAAACTCAATTTGTATAATTATACTCTTGGTTACTCAGTAGCATGACATTTTCGTATTTTCAAGCTGTAAGTCCTGACTATTGCATAATGTTGAACGTTTAAAACTTCACCAAGGCAACAATATAGGGATTGTGTGATAGTTCAGGTGAATTACTTAATGCTAATATTTAATCGTTGAAGCATTTTGTACTACTTTTGGCCACTAAGTCGGTGGGTACACAAATTGCAATAATTGTGCATGTAGTATTGCAGATTTGCATATAGGTGGATGCTACATGTGCACACTCAAATGTGAAGTTGACACAAGCCCACATGGAACAGGTTGCATGGATCGGTTTAGACCAAAGTGAATGTGAATGGTTGTTGAAGTGAGTGTTATAATCACTGGGGACAATGATAGGCACTCCGAATAGCTACCGGGCAGCTTTTCTGAGAGGAGATTTGTTATTAAACCCAATTACAACCACTCATAGACTCCCAATTATGTGTAAGATGATGCTTATACCGTGAATTCTTCTTCAGCTGAAACATGAGAACTGGGAAGAAAATCCAAATGGAAACGTGTATACGAACTACATGTATATCGTGTTGAGCAAGAGCGGGGGAGAGGACCCAATCACCCTAACAATAGGGCAAGCTGTAAAGAAAGGAGACCTCATTGCCTACAGTTATGGAACGTCTTTTCCACACATTCATTTTGAGGTGAGAGATGGAGGCACGATTTCCAAGTACAGTAGCAACCCCTGGAAGTACATGCCCAACAGTGCCAATGACTACACCTCATTCGATACGGCTAGTGTAAGTCTCACGACAAATTACAATGATGTTGAATGTCAGGCCGTCGTTAATGTGAGTGTGCCCCCCAATCTACTGACCTTTAATCGCGTGGAACTGCACATCCTGGACAGCTCAGACACTCCGCAGAAAGTCCGTTTTTACGACATGTGTGGAATTAACACAAATCGAACCACGAGCCAAATCAATGACCAAAACTACCGGGAAGATCCAAATGATGCCTCCTCCTACCTCATCCGCATCTCTCCCAAGCCTTTCTTCTATAACCCAGACACAAATATACCTGCTTCTGCTGAGTATGGATTTGATTTTGTAGACCTCCCTTCACTGGCTGGAGGTGGGAGAGTCATGGCCAAGATATTTGATGTGTTTGGAAACAGTATACCAACAGATTACTTTGATTACACCTGTTCTGAAGGAACCACCACTGCTCCAACTACCACAACTACCAGCTCCACCACAGCCACCAGCTCTACCACACCCACCGAGGAATCAAGCTGTAGCGGCTGCACCAGGAACGATCGTATTTGGCCCATTTCAGGAACTACAACTGTTGATCTCCCCCAATCCGTACCCTATGGTTCCAGACGATACTATTCAAGTGGAAGGTATTCTATACTATGGTTAAAAGTGTCATTCAAAGTCTCAGATACATACCTGCCAATGTAGCTCTGTATAATTATACCGAGATAGTTTTCCTTGGACCTACAGCTATAGCCTTCACTTTCCGGCAAAAACACTGCTTTTCCTTAGTCATTCCCTGGGGAAGTTACACATTATTGCTACCACTGTAGAAATCAAGCGAGATGTATGAAATACGTGAAAAGTAAGCCTCAGAATTAATTTTGGTGAAACACAGTGGACTTGAGACCCGGTATATTATTAGCTCAGTATACACATACATACACTCGCACAGAAAATCACACATCAACCTAGCATAAGATATCAGGGCATATATCTCTTTCATGGAAGCTGGGATACAAATGTCATTTTTTGACTTGGTCAATTTGTGCAGCTACAATTTCCATCGTGGCGTTGACATACGCTGCTCTACCTACACCAATGTCTATGCTGTGGCAGATGGGACAGTTCGAATCAACGGCTCTCACTCAGGATATTCATCAAGCATAGTGCAGGTATAATTCGCTTTTCTACTTGCTTATTCTATGTAATAAGTATAACTGTAGGGATGGCACTGCTCAAATCTCATCTGATCTGTGGGCACAGTCACTGATAGGCTCCTCCCAATTAAGTATTCTGGCATTACCAAAGATCCTAGTCTCGTGCCCAGACCCTCACGATGCTCCCGCGTGAAAGAGGGTCTTGCATAATATAAGGTCCGATTTCTTGGTTGTGCTGAGTCAGCATGTTCGGAAAACGGGTAACCCAATCAGATTGCCGGATTTAAAACTATCATGTGGCATGAAGGCGATCTGCAATGCCGACCGGTTCTGCGCATGCTCAGCGCAACAGAATGGGAATGCTGACCAGGTAATCACACGACTGACAGGTTGAATTATGCAATGCACGTACACATGCTCATTCAGCACAACCAAGAAATCGGACCATATTTACCAGACCCTCTTTCGCATGGGAGCACGTGAGGGTCTGGGCATGAGACTACAAAGATCCCAACTTCCAATCAAATTTTATCGTTTTCCCACCTTTGTCTGTAGCTGAAACATACTGGGTGGGAAGAAAATCCAGGTGGATACGTTTATACCAACTACCAGCAGATCAGCTTGGTCAAGAGCGGGGGAGAAGACCCAATCACCCTACCATTAGGACATAACGTGAAAAAGGGAGACCTCATTGCCTACGGTTATAGAGAGAGCAATTTTGTAAATATTCATTTTGAGGTGAGAGATGGAGGCACGATTTCAAAGTACAGTAGCAACCCCTGGAAGTACATGCCCAACAGTGCCAATGACTACACCTCATTCGATACGGCTAGTGTAAGTCTCACGACAAATTACAATGATGATGAATGTCAGGCCGTCGTTAATGTGAGTGTGCCCCCCAATCTACTGACCTTTAATCGCGTGGAACTGCACATCCTGGACAGCTCAGACACACCGCAGAAAGTCCGGTTTTACGACATGCATGGAACTAACACAAACCAAACCACGAGCCAAATCAATGACCAAAACTACCGGGAAGATCCAAATGATGCCGCCTCCTACCTCATCCGCATCTCTCCCAAGACCTTCACCAGCACTTACTTAGAAAACAACAAACCTGCCGAGTATGGATTTGAATTTGTAGACCTCCCTTTACTGTCTGGAGGTGGGAGAGTCATGGCCAAGATATTTGATGTGTTTGGAACGAGTCGTTTGACTGACTATGAAAGCTACACCTGTAACTAACTGAGCTCCGATAGCTAGTTGCTCGAAAACATTGGTGTTTGTGTTTGTAGTAAGTTTTTGTATATTTTTCGTTGTATTTAGAAATTCGGACGGCCGCGCCGCAACGCGACGGCGCAGCAGAAAATGCGCATGCGCTAATTATTAGGCTTGCTTTATAACCGACCGGCGCGCGATCGCGAGTGCTGACCGAAGGCGAATGAGATGGGTCTAATAACGTTGCTCCGTGCTTTGAGCGTCGTCATTTTGCACTGCTACGTGCAGTCCAGCAGTGCCGTGACCAGGAACGATCGTATCTGGCCCATTGGAGGAACCACGAGCGTGGATCTCCCCCAGTCCTCACCATTTGGCCCCAGGCTTCAGATCAGCAGAGGCAGCAAGTAAGGAGAAAATGTGATACTGGAGTGTAGGAAAATGGTGCAGAGTGTAATGTCTATTGGTATAATGGTCCTACAGCTTACCGTAATGTTGTTAAAGGTCCTAGCTTACAAAAACAGAGGTAATCTTGGTGTGTTAGTAATGGAGACAATGTGTTACTGAAAGTACAGGTTAGAGTGTATTCTGTGAACATATACTGGGCAGTCACCAACAAAAGTAGCTACACCTCTATTTTTACCACAGTTTACCGCTGTAAAATGAATGAAGTGTTACATTTGTGCTATATAGTGTTTTTAGCTATGTAGCTACATACCTCTCTTGGCTTGACACTTGTGGGGACAAACACATTGATTAGGTTACCTGGTATTTGCACCTGAATTTCCTTACATGGCTAATTTTGGAATGCATGTCTGAGTCTGTGCACGTCTGAGGGGTGAGATCTATTTTTACACAAGAAATAAGTTCTGAGCATCTGATCTGTATTATGGACTGTTGGTTTTGAAGACTTTTAGTGGATATGTTTGAAATCCATTATTAGCCAACCGCTACTGAGAGTGCCTACAATACAATCATAGTAGTTTGAGACTCCATTCTTACACCTTTCTTCTCATAGTATTCATTCCAACCTCCAGCTACTGTCCATTCCAGTATAGTTTGTGTATTATAGCTACCCTAGAAAACCGCTGTTAAATGAAGACTTAAGTATAATACAATCGGTGACTGACTGAGCAGATGTGACTCATTAGCACACTAGCAATGTACTGCCTCATCATCTTCTTCAACATCCTTCCCTCCCCTCAGCACTAAAGAGTGTGGCTATGCATCAACGACTGAAACCGTGTGTGTGTGTCTGTTGAAAAGTGAATGGATTTCCTCATGTGCAGGTATGACTATCATCGTGGAGTGGATATACCAGCTATTCTCTACAGCAATGTTTATGCCGTGGCTGACGGCATAGTTAGGATCAATGGATCTCATCCTGCGTATTCAGATGGTGTGGTACAGGTAAAATTGAAAGAGCAGCTAAGATTCTTGAGAAATAATTTTAAAACCCTGCTTGCTATATTTTCTTTACAGCTCAAACACACAGATTGGGACGAAGGAGGCGTGTTCTATACCAACTACATTCATGTGGTGATGAACAAAAGCGGACAAAACCCCATTACTCTAGCTATAGGTCAATCTGTCAGCAAAGGACAGCACATTGCCTACAGCAATGGTACATCGTCTTTAGATCACATTCATTTCGAAGTGAGGGTTGGATCTGTGTTCAGCAGAGATTGCTGCAACCCCTGGAAGTACATGCCAAACAACGACAGTGACTACTCGTCAATTGAAGCTGAGCTAAGTCTCACACCAAATTACGACAGTATTGACTGTCAGGCTGTTGTTATTGTGAGTGTGCCCCCAAATCTACTGACCTTTAATCGCGTCGAACTGCACATCCTGGACAGCTCAGACACACCGCAGAAAGTCCGGTTCTACGACATGTGTGGAACTAACGTGAACCGTACACAGGGCCAAGTTGACAACTCAACCTATCAGGACGACCCTGATGATTACTCCTCCTCCTACCTCATCCGCATCTCTCCCATGTTCTTTAATAGCAAATCATATGAAAAGAACGAAAGCGCCGGCTGGGGATTTGAATTTGTAGACCTCCCTTCGCTCTCTGGAGGTGGGAGAGTCATGGCCATAATATTTGATGTGTTTGGAAACAGTAAATCAACAGAGTATCTCAGTTACACCTGTTCTAATGGAACCACCACAGCTCCCACTACCAGCTCTACCACACCCACCCACTCCACCACACCCACCAGTTCAAGCCCAACACTAGCTGTGGCGGCTACACTAGGAACAATCTGCGCATTTGTAGCTATATACAGTATATAATAGTTATCCAGTGTAATGTTAGTCGAGCAAATATTATATCTATTCGCAATCTGTGAATGGTCCTACGGTTTCTCTTTTGCACACCCATCCTTCTGAGCATATTATGTTCAGTGTGAAAGCATTTTATGACTAGATTACGCAGCTGACCGCAACACACATAATTGTGTAGTTAGTACAGATAAGACAGGGTCTGCTTTGTTTGTATGTTGTGGCCTTCATAGAAAAACAATATCTTATAGTAGATGGAGGTGTACTCTTGTTTTGTCTTGAGAATGTATTGTGTTACATTGACACTGATATCCATTTTCCTTGTGACCAAACTATCTGTAGCTTAAACAGGCAAGTTTGGATACAGAAGCCAGAAGCTTGTACCAGAACAAACGCAACAGAGCAACTCACAATTTCCCCCCGCGTATTTAGGATCACGTAGAACATTATGGTATGTGCAATGCCTGTCTCATAATTACAACCTGAATTAAGATGACTAGGTAGGCTCGCTTTGCTTGCATCATACTGTTTGTGGTGTATTCTAAACTTGCCAAGTAGCTAGTTGTGATACCAGAAGAATTGGTGAAAGTAATGCTAAATTCAGAAAGACTCGCAGATGGCATGACAATAAACTATAAATTACATTCATGTCGTCCTGATGAGTATAAAAATTTTCATCTGAGTGGATCTCTATTTTGTATGACTACTTTTAGTGACGGTTGTGAGCGAAGTAGGTTATATAGCGCAACGTTCCCCAATAAGTCTCCCTGAGCACCTCCACATACTGATGGAGATCAGATATCTCCAGACATGCCTTGAGACGAGGGTCTAGACCAGAGAATGACTGTAGAACTGCAGTGTCTGGAGCAGTGAATGAGGGAAGAGAGAATAACTTCTTTCCCTCCTCCTTCCTCTTGGAAAATAGCTTCTTAAAATCAATTTCTTCCGGCTCTTGTTTACCAAATAAAAACGATCTTTTCCAGAAGAGTTGAGTCTGGGGCTGAGTCAGGTCTGAAGATGAGAATGATCTCCTGAGATTAGGAGACATGCCACTAGCAACAGTCCTTAAATTGAACTGCTGAAGAGGCCCAAGTCCTGTCCACTGACAATACCCCCTACCAGCAGAGAGAGGGAGGAATAATTCAGACGGATCTTCATCTCTTCCAGAGTAGTGTTTTCCTTGAGAATGTTGTTAAGTTCCAGAAGAAAGTCAGTGCAGGTAGTCTTACTAGGCAGAGGAACACTCTTCATGGATATGACAGACGAAATACTATTACCCCGTTTTCTATCCTTCCTAAGTTGTGCCAATTGCATATCATCATATATTATAAGGGATATCAATGTTTTGTTCTTTCTGAGTGCACTGCAAATGTAAAGGATTCCATCATAGCCCAGTCTGGTTCTCTTCAGCTCCAATGTGGTGAGACTGGGACAGTGTAGTAAGATGCTGTGGACACCAGCCATGGTCTCACGGCATACATTGGGCAGTACAATTTTGGTAATATGATTTGATCTAATGACTGATTGGAGTATAGAGTCGACCAGCAAATCTGTTGAACTGTGAAGTTCATGCATTTCATTGAGGGGTAGTTGTATATCAAGTTCAAGTTCTGTCAGTCTATTCTCTATTAGCCAGCAAAGAGGATCAGTTGGTGGTGGACTACTACATTCTTCATCGTTACTTATACGTAATACTTTGAGTTCACTGAGGGACTTTAGTGCAGTAAGCCACTCCCATGATATAGGGGAGAGAACTAGAATTGTTAGTGTCTTAAGTTTGGGAACTGATTGCAGGAGAGTATGTAGTGGACCACTGTCCATGACTCTAGAGAACAATTGCATTTCTTCAATTTCAGTCAAAAACTGTGATTTTGTTAGCCAAAACAGACTCATATTAAAACTTTCTACGGACTCAGTGTAGTTGCGTACAGAGAGATGTTGGACTTTTGGGGTGGTGTATTTGCAGTGGTCATTGAGACCTTTGACAAACGTTTCCACAAGTGATACGTCATTATCACTCTGGATGATAATATACAAACCAACTTGGTTTGAGGAATTTGCAAGACAGTAGGAAAGAGAATAGCAATCATATGGTGTTAAACTACTGTCAATAAGAACGCTCTCCCTACTACTAGCAGTAAAACAGTGGGATATAACAGTTGGATTTTGAGCCTCATACAGAGAACGTGATAACACTCTGTCATCACCAATATCTGCAGTGGCATGACTAAGATATATTTCCCAGGGGTTCCTGTCATCCTCTGACTGGCATCTCATGCCAGTGATACCAGCCAGGAATGTGGCTGGCTCCACTAGTGATTCCGCTTGTGAGTATAAGACGATTTTTTCTTCTTCAATTCCACCTTCACTAATTGGAATTTTTGTCAGTAACAGCGAGCCTATGATAAGCCACCTGAAACTCAATGCTGTAGCTACTAGCCAGGTGCCAAGCTGCCAGGTATTCCTGTAGGCTGAGGTGGAGAAATGAGAATGTTCGCTCCACTCCTGTGCCAGCATACATTTCACTGGATTCGTTCATGAACCCAAAATGATCTAATCCCTCAGGGATATCCTCTTTGAAAAATGTTACTTTTTTGGACACACCTTCATGGTAGCTACGGAAAGCAAACTTGGCTAAAGTATTAAACATTTCCTTATCATTTTGTTTCAGACCTTCTGGAAGTACAGACATAGATTCATGATATTCTTCCTTCATCTTCATGTGTCTAACAAGAAGAGAATGAGTGAGTGCCTTGTACAGCTGCGTTTTAGTTTTTGGAATGGTAAGTTGGCAACTTTTCTGAGACTCGTAATAGACTTGTGCTATAATGGCGCAGTTGAGTGGAATGTACATCATTGACTTTATGTGAGGGACAAGAAACATGTACTTCAAGAAATTTGCGTGAAGCTCTGGTTCCTTGCTAAAGACCTCAGTGATATACCTCACTCTCTCTTCCTCTGTGAACCCTATAATTTCTACGTGTTTATCAACTCGAGGCTGGCAGATACTTTAGTGTGGATTTGGCGGATGGTCTAGTAGTGAGGATGATGGTACTTTCTGGCAAGAGTTGCCTACATAGAATGCTTTTTACAACAGAGTTTTCATGAAACTGTGTGAAACTTCGTCAAAACCATCCAAAACAAGCAACAGATTATGTCCATGTGATTGACTTATAGCGCCATAGATATTTTTACTGAATTCAGGCTCAGGTGGAAACCTGAAAAGATCAGAAGGTTTTGTTGCATTTAATACCCACTTTTCCCTCAACTTGAGCAGCACCACAGTCTGGTAGTCCCTGAGGCTTTCTATCTCATCCCATTTCCTACATGCCTCCCAGGCAAAGGTACTCTTACCAATTCCTGGAGGACCTTCTACCAGAACAAATCTTACTGGTTGACCATCGCTGTCTTCTGGAGTGAGCAGGTCTTTAATACTAATGGGCGTCTTACTTTTAAGAATCTGGTCTACTCCGCCATGGAGTGTTTGTCTAGTGAACTCATCTCTTTGCTCTGGACCACAATCTTCCTTTCTAACCATGGCTAGATTAATGTAGGGAGCATTAAGAGTGGGTAGGTACTTGTCTGCTGCAGCAAGTGGCCTTGCTTTGTAGCAAGACTTTAAATATTTCTTATACTTTGTCAACACTGAAACACCTGACTCGGATGAGGTTTGACTTACTGGTGAAATAGTTACATCTTCTCCTGCAACAACTTGGGTTGCTTTTGTGGCTGGGACAGGCATCATCGAACCTGCATTTGGAAAATTATTGACGGGGAATAAAATAGAGTAAAGGGTAGTCTTACCAGGAATTGCCACAGTTGATTTTCCTTCAGGGGGAGAAGGAGGAAGCTTACTGCCAAACACAAATGCTGTTCTGTCAGGACACACTTTTCCTGTAATGATAAGACAAAACCGTCATGATGCTGAAAGATTGAAATGATAGAGATTGTACCTGTTTCAAACCACAAATCTCTTCCAACTTCATGCAGAACCTGTTTTTCCAGAAATACTTGAATGATGGTGAATATTCTGTCCGAACGTGACTTTATTCTCTTGTAGAGAGTACGAACTAAGGTTATGGCCTTTACTTGTCGAGATTCGGGTGATGTCAGCATATCTTCCATCATTGAGAAGGATAATAGACGCTTTGCCTGCAGTTGAGCCCCAACTTCGACCGGGTCTTTGATTGCACAACAAAGTTTACCGAATGAACACTTGAATATATTTTTAAGCTTTTGAGTCTCGGTTTCTGAGAGATTTTTCAGCATATCGCACTCTGGTGAGGAGTCATCCATTTCAGTGGAACTTGATGAGTTCCCCTTTTCCATTTCTTCCCTGCGCCTACTTATATTCCTTCTATAATGACTTCTCTTTCTTTTGCCTTTACTGTATTTTTCTTCATCTATATTCGAGGGGTATGTGCTGCTAGTGGCTATGGGGCTTACATTACTCTCCCTGTAATGTTTCCCCCTGTCATCACTATGCTTTGGTCTAACTTCGTCTCTTTCCCCCTTCCTATGATGATTACTTCTTCCCCTTTCTTCTCCAGAAGACTCTTCACCAGCAGAATAAGAGTCTTCATGAAGGTCTGTTGCTGATGATCTGATTTTGACTGTGCTGCTAGTGGCTATGGGGCTTACGTTACTCTCCCTGTAACGTTTCCCCCTGTCATATCTATGCTTTGATCTAACTTCGTCTCTTTCCCCCTTCCTATGACAATCTCCTTCTCCAGGAGACTCTTCACTAGCGGAATAAGAGTCTTCATCAAGTTTTGTTGCTGATGATCTGGTTTTTGACTGTGCTGCTAGTGGCTATGGGGCTTATGTTACTCTCCCTGTAACGTTTCCCCTGTCATCACTATGCTTTGATCTAACTTCGTCTCTTTCCTCCTTCCTATGACGACTAATTGTTCCTCTTTCTTCTCCAGAAGACTCTTTACCAGTGGAATAAGAGTCTTCATCAAGATCTGTTGCTGATGATCTGGTTTTGACTGTGCTGCTAGTGGCTATGG